AGCAGTCAGCAGCAGAAAGCAACAGGCTACTGGAGGTTGACCCCCAGTGCATGCACATACACACGCCAACATAATCTTAAGACAATAACATCCTCTACTGGGGAGAAAACACATAACACACTGAAAGGGGCACAGTGACAATTGTGCATGCACAAACCCACCCACAGACGATGTTCAAAACACACAAAAACATAAACAGCACAAACAGGATTCAAGCAGATTGTTAGTAAACAGATTAAACTGGAGAAGCTATCCACGGTGACATGCACACACACACACACACACACACACACACACACACATATGCAACCGCACATAACGTCTGTGTGCCTATATGAACACACACACACAAATCACATTGCATGACCACTTCAGGTTTCATCATCTTTTCCTTTTTTTTTTTCTTTCTTTCTCTTGAGAGCCGGCGATGGGGGGAGCATTCCCTCTCTTTTGTTGCTGCTGGGGAGAGAGAGCACATATCCATACAGAACGCTCTCTCTCCAGCCCCATTCACACCCACACAACTCCCTCCCTCCTTTCTCCAAGCACACGCACATACACACACACACATGCACACATCCAAAAAGATACAACATCAAAGAGCCGACACTGCCGAAGGATTACTTCAGCCACACACTGGCTCCTCAATCCGGGTCTGTTCCTCTGTCCCCCCCTCCAGCCTGCCAGCACTTGGTACAGTCCAAGCATTCCATGCCAAGTAGCTTTCACACATGGAGGGGAAGCTTGTCTCAAGCAATTGCTGACAAGCTACAAACAAGACAGCCTCCCTTTTCCCCCTCTCTCCTTCGCCTTTTTTTCCTCCCCCCTCTCTCGCGCCCCAACAACTCACGTCTGCTTCGCCCCCCAACCATCCTTACTCCTCACCCCTCTTGCCCTCTCGGTCCCCCCTCCTTTTCTTTCCCCCCCCCTCTCTCCTCCTCTAGCTTCTTCTCTTTCCCTCTCTTTCTCTCCCACCTACCCACCTCACTCCCCCCTCTCTCTCTGAGAATGTGGGGGCCCCACTAGCATAAATTGTCAGCTGTTCCTGGGCGTACTCTCCATGGCTCCCTAAACTCACATAAGCCCGCATATGCAGTCGGCGGTGAAGCAAGGGTAACCTAAGTAAGCTCTGTTGGTTATGAGTCTGAAAAAGTACACCCAAGCCCCCGAATAATGCTGCAGTGTGAGGCCACTCAGGAGTTTTATACTATAATAAGCTGCACCGGGAACCGAGGCTAATGGAAGTGCGGGGTCAACGTACTTTTATTCAGCGTCTTTGCTTAATTAACTCCCAAATGCAAAGTGTTGAGTCTCACTCAAAACCACAATTTTTAACCTTATTTGCAGTTTTCGCGGGAATCGCTGTAATGCTCTCCTATTGTGTGTGTGTGTGTGTGTGTGAATAATTAGTTATTGGAAAATTAAGGTATTGCTATATTTATTAAGTCTTTTCACGAAATAATTACACCGTTCTTATTTTCCCTCTACACTGGGCGATGTCTGAAGGTTTTCAGAGCTCTGCTGGAACCATTTTGCATTGTAGTCTTATTGTTACTGAGCATGCATTGTTATCCACTAGTGTAGGCTGCCATCTAGTGTCGGGTTTGGGTACTGTTTTTTAATGAAGCGCCCAAGTTTCTACTTAAAAACATTATTATTATTATTATTTCCCATGGCATTTATGTGAAATATTCCAGCAAATATCCTGTTGATTCACGCAAATGTGTTTTGTGAGTAAAAGACAAGTCTAAAACGTGATGCTTATTCAGAGTGCTTTGTCTGGTTTGATCAGTTGTAATTATTACAGTGAAAATTTCTCTTTCCCCCCCTTACATCGTGTCAGCTGCAGGGCAGTTCAAGTTTCAGTGGTTTGCTCAGGAACACCTGTGCAAATGCTTCAAAATGTGCCCTCTGCTGTACTCAAGCTAGGTTGGGAATTGAGAAATGTGAAAAACAATCAGCCTTAATATTTAGGAGAAGGAAGCCCATAGTGGCAGAGAAGTACAGTGGGGCAAAAAAGTATTTAGTCAGCCACCGATTGTGCAAGTTCCCCCACTTAAAATGATGACAGAGGTCAGTAATTTGCACCAGAGGTACACTTCAACTGTGAGAGACAGAATGTGAAAAAAAAATCCATGAATTCACATGGTAGGATTTGTAAAGAATTTATTCGTAAATCAGGGTGGAAAATAAGTATTTGGTCACCTCAAACAAGGAAAATCTCTGGCTCTCACAGACCTGTAACGTCTTCTGTAAGAAGCTTTTCTGTCCCCCACTCGTTACCTGTATGAATGGCACCTGTTTGAACTCATCATCTGTATAAAAGACACCTGTCCACAGCCTCAAACAGTCAGACTCCAAACTCCGCCATGGCCAAGACCAAAGAGCTTTCGAAGGACACCAGGAAAAGTATTGTAGACCTGCACCAGACTGGGAAGAGTGAATCTACAATAGGCAAGCAGCTTGGTGTGAAAAAATCAACTGTGGGAGCAATCATCAGAAAATGGAAGACATACAAGACCACTGATAATCTCCCTCGATCTGGGGCTCCACGCAAGATCTCATCCCGTGGGGTCAAAATGATCATGAGAACGGTGAGCAAAGATCCCAGAACCACACGGGGGGACCTGGTGAATGACCTGCAGAGAGCTGGGACCAAAGTAACAAAGGTCACCATCAGTAACACACTACAACGGCAGGGAATCAAATCCCGCAGTGCCAGACGTGTTCCGCTGCTGAAGCCAGTGCATGTCCAGGCCCGTCTGAAGTTTGCCAGAGAGCACATGGATGATACAGCAGAGGATTGGGAGAATGTCATGTGGTCAGATGAAACCAAAGTAGAACTTTTTGGTATAAACTCAACTCGTCGTGTTTGGAGGAAGAAGAATACTGAGTTGCATCCCAAGAACACCATACCTACTGTGAAGCATGGGGGTGGAAACATCATGCTATGGGGCTGTTTTTCTGCCAAGGGGACAGGACGACTGATCCGTGTTAAGGACAGAATGAATGGGGCCATGTATCGTGAGATTTTGAGCCAAAACCTCCTTCCATCAGTGAGAACTTTGAAGATGAAACGAGGCTGGGTCTTCCAACATGACAATGATCCAAAACACACCGCCCGGGCAACAAAGGAGTGGCTCTGTAAGAAGCATTTGAAAGTCCTGGAGTGGCCTAGCCAGTCTCCAGACCTCAACCCCATAGAAAATCTGTGGCGGGAGTTGAAAGTCCGTGTTGCTCGGCGACAGCCCCAAAACATCACTGCTCTCGAGAAGATCTGCATGGAGGAATGGGCCAAAATACCAGCTACTGTGTGTGCAAACCTGGTAAAGACCTATAGTAAACGTTTGACCTCTGTTATTGCCAACAAAGGTTATGTTACAAAGTATTGAGTTGTATTTTTGTTATTGACCAAATACTTATTTTCCACCCTGATTTACGAATAAATTCTTTACAAATCCTACCATGTGGATTCATGGATTTTTTTTTTCACATTCTGTCTCTCACAGTTGAAGTGTACCTCTGGTGCAAATTACTGACCTCTGTCATCATTTTAGGTGGGGGAACTTGCACAATCGGTGGCTGACTAAATACTTTTTTGCCCCACTGTATGTGAGGGTGGTGCAGGACATGTATGAGGACAGCAAGACAGCAGTGAAGTGATAGATGGGTTCACGGTGGAGTTGGAATTAGACCATGGATCGGCTCTAAGCCTTTTCTTGTTTGCGGGATGCTGAGTTGTAGATGTTCAGATTTACATCATGGATGAGCGGGACGGCTCGGTTTGAGCAATTTGGAGACAAAGTTAGAGAGACAGGGCTTTGGTATGGTAAACATGCTGGACAAAAGGATCCTGAATATGGAGGTGCCAGGTAGGAGGAAAAGAGGAAAGCCACAGAGAAGATTGTGGTTGTAACCACGTCTGTAGACTGTTTCAAATGGATGTTGCTAATGAGAATATTCAAATTCTAACAGCTTTACACATTTTCTTGTCTTAGCAGCATAGATGATCTACGTTGGAGCTTGGTGGAGAACAAGCATGTGTGAATCCGCATCTACAAGAGCCTAAACTGGCAGACCAACACAGGAGGTAGTATGCCAAAAAAAGACGGACAAGTTCGGAGATTATTCAGTGTACTTTATGTACGCTGCTGGGGGAGAAGCATCCGAACTGGTGATAGCAGTAGACTGTGTGAAATGATTAGGAAGGCTGGGTCTATAACTGGGTCCAGCTTGGGCATGTTTGAAGCTGTGGTGGAGAGGTCACTGAGCAAACTGTTATCCATCCATCCATCTATAATGAATGGCCACCCTCTGCAACATTACGCACAAGAACATCATTTCAGCTGCTTTAACAAAAAAACTGTGCAATGTCAGATCTTCTGATTGAAACACTGAGGAGGATCAAAATAACATTTTTTTAAAACCCAAATAATTATGAAAAGTTTAAGAGCGAGACAGGAAAGCTGGGCCTTTCTCGGTGGTGGAAACAAGCTTCCTTAATTATAATTACCAAATATTTACCAAAAGGACTGAAACTAAAATGACAAATTCCAATTAGTACCTTGTAGTTCGAGTGCCTCTGCCAACCAGTTAGGTTGCAGGTTAGATGAATCTGTCCAGAGTTATATGCAGTGAAGAAATGTAACCGGTGAGCATAAAAAGTAATAAATTCATTATACAACTAATGTGAAATATGGTCACAATCTCTCCTTGTTTTTGAGTTATTGTGGAACAATGGCAAATGGAATTCCCTCGAGAGATATGAGGAACTATGTCCCTTATGCAAAAATACAGACAAGCACAAAGCTACACCATTTTCTAGATGCTAACTAAATCTTCAACAAAAAAAAGTCCCCTTGAATTTTAAGGTCAAGTTTCCTGCTTAGATTTTGGCATGAAACTGTACCAGGTATACAGTTTTGAATCTTTTGTCACCATTTGCACTTACAAAAGCGTATTATATCAGATATATATATACTTAAATTGGAATAAAAGGATACAAAAGGCAAAAATTTATTCAGTCTTTACAGATAGCGAGACAGCTCATTTATTTCTAAAATCAATCTGTGAAACATAGACATCTCTGTATGTGCACACATTGCATTTACTCAGTAGAATTTGAAGTAGAACAAGATGAGCGTCTTAGCTTGGATTTAAGTGGAGGAAACAATCAATAAAACATCTGTAATGACAGTTGTGTTGATTACTAGTTCAGAAATTCACATTAAAAACGAGACACTTTCCCTTTTCTTTCTTTTTTTTTTTTTTTTAAGTGGCAGCCTTAGAAAAGATGAAGGGACGGGTGTGTGTGTGTGTGGGGGGGGGGGGGGGAGGAGACTACAAATGGCCTGGAAATACACATGCAGTAGTTTCACCACACCCAGCACCCCCCACCCCCGGGTCAAACCACAGGCTCCGGGACTAGGTGAAGATTAGCAGATCAATACAAAAGGAGGGAAAGACTAGTGAAGTCATTTAAAAGTTTTCACACCAAAAGACAAAAGACCCACTGAAACACCTCAAGGAAAGGCTCACTCCTAAATCCCACCTCCACCTTCAAGTATTCCCTTCAGCACTTGCACCACTTCAAGTATTCCCGCTCTGAACTCCAAACCGTCGATTTCAGTACTACTTCTTAGGTTTACAACATAAGCTATGATATAAGTGCACTCCAAATGTAATCTATACATAGAAAAATAAAGATGACATTAAGTAGAAGTAATAGTTATAACAATCACTTTATATTTCAATATTGTACACAAAAGTGATGTTGAATCACTTTATAACGTGGCATCACATTCCCCGCCCCCTGAGTGTAATGTTCAAGTTTAAACTTCTGTATGTACGGAAAAGCAAACAGGAACAGCAACCTTGGTTTGGTTATTTAAATAACATTAGCAATCATTGGCAACGGCAATGATTAGAAGCTCGAGTAATTATGCCTTTCCACAGGCCGTTGTGCTTGTGTGTGGTGGATGCATTATGTACACGCGGCAGATCGATCATGTGACTCTGGCTCTGGCCTGTTCCCTGGCGTTGAGACACAGACAGCCATCATCCTGGAAAATAAACACGAGTGTTAAGAAACAGACGAGACACTGAAGAAAAATCAATGCAGGTATTGAGCAGATGATCATACTGAACTGTAAGGGTATTGATAGCCCCCCCCATCTGCGAGCAGTGTGAAGAGCAAAGGACAACTAAACATTCATCTTCCCCACTCATCAATCACATCAGGCAGCACTATGAAAGATGACTGACTGATGTGTAGCTCAGTTTTCTAAGGCGTCGCTTCCACTCACCTTAGTCTCAGTGCATGAGCAGGTCCTCCAGCTTCCTCATGAACCAGCAGCAATGCAACTCCGGCATTTATACAACTTGGGGTCATGGGTGCGGATGTGATTCCGTACATTCCTTAGTCGAAAGAACGTCTTACTGCAGAGCTGCACCAGAGGGGAATAGAAAGTGTTAATAACAAAGAAATAACTGGAAAAGAGCTGCGATGCTGCAATTTAACAAAACTCCCAAGTGCCTCAATGCCACCCAAAAAGCAGGAAAGACTTTGTTAGACAAGAACTACACCTATGGAAAATGAGTCATTGTGGCCACTGCCTTTTTGATACGTTTATGTGCGCATTGCTGGTGACTAGATAACACTTCCACCAAATTTGAGAAAGAAATAGCTCTGAGCTACAAAAAGAATGATCCAATTTAAAAGTGCCTTTATTCCGCAGCCGTTCACTGGTAACAATCGAAACATGCGCTGTTATAAAGAGGAGAATTGTAAGTTTCACGTGTTCGTAGGATTACAGCAGCGGCTACAGTTTCTCCAGACATGCTTTCAGAAGTATGGGATGAGTTAGACTCGCCTCAACTTGACTCAGTTTCAATTACAATCAAGTACCATCGTTAAATCAACCCAGTCAAAAGTCCTGTGATGTCATTTGTACGAAACACGAACACCACAACAAAAGAGGACTTCGAGGCAATGGTATAGCTGCTGCTCGGTCTGTGGCTTTTTGTCAGACTCTGGGACCACAGTGTTGTTCTTTGAGCAGCTCTCTCCCTCGTTGCTGCGTTTGAAAAATGGTGGTTTTGATTTTCGCAAAGAGATGCTATCATGACTCATTGAGTAACGGCACTGGCCAGCCATGGCATGCTCTCTGTTGATGTCACATTTTGGATAGCCTCGAATCACTTGGAACCCCTGAGGAGTATGTACTAAAAAAAAAAAAAAAAAAGTACCAGGTACTGTGACCCAATGGAAAACCCTGAAAGCTGTGTTGAGCTGTGCCGAACAGACCTGAGTAGGTACTAGTGTAAAGGCCTAATTGAGCACTTGTGAACATGTCCATTACTTTGATTCTTTTTGACTCACCTTATAGTTCAAGAAAACGCTGTTCAAACCAAAAACTGTAGAAAACTGTTGACCAACCATTTAATTTCTCATCATGGGCATATTTGGTGCTAAAATTATTGTCAGCCTATATAAAGTCATCCATTTTTCTTTTGGTTTGCAATTAAAACTACAAATGAAGTCAAGTAAACTAATATGAAGCCCTGTTTCATCCAGACAGAATGGTTTCATGTTTGTTGTAAGGTTTTTAAGAACAACACTTCTGGTCTCTCAAACTTTGCTACATCTTCTGACCAAAGTCGCCACCAGTGCAAGTTTAAAAATAAAGGCTGTGCTTGGCCTATTAGAAAGAAAGCTAGAAGTAACAGACCTTGTGTTTTTGTCTAAATGCCACATGAAAATAGTATCACCTCAATGCTTTCTAACACCCTGAGCAGAGCAGCAGGAGAAAAAGATCTTAGACACAAGGTAGTACTGTCCCAAAGATGCAGTGAAAGGTCACTAAAGCCCCTTTTCTGTTAGTACCAACTCGGATCGACTTGGCATGGTTCGCCACGGTTTTCGGTGTTTTCCCATTGGGTTATAGTACCCGGTACTTTTTCTTTTAGTATCTGCTCATCTGGGGTTCTAAGTGAACCGAGCAGGTACTAAAACATGATGTTGTCAGAAAAACTAATATTTTAATTCCTTGGTGCTTACCAGACATGGCCAGTGCTTGCCCTCGATGTGCCTAAGGCGATGCATAATTAGGGCATCACAATCCTTGTAGGAGGCTGAGCACTGCAGACAGGCGTGGGCTGCTTTGGGAACTTTAGGGGCCTGACTACGAGGCCCTCTGAGCTGCTTTAGTCGTGCCCGACGTACAGCATCCAGCATGGCACAGCTCCTACTGCTCAGAGCGAGGAGCTTACCTTGTTGCTAGAGAAAAATAAAATAAAATTATTAGTTAATGAGTTTTGTTCACATTTTTAGATAGAAATGATTAAATGCTTTTAAAAGATTAGGCGCCACAGGCGATGCATCAAACAAAGACTGTACCGTTATAAAATTAGATATGAAAGCAAGCATGAGATCATAATCGTCACTATAGTTTGCTACTTGGCATTTTTTATTTTTACCTTTGGCATGGTCCCTGCAGGTTTTGACCTAGCACACCTGGCTAGAGGTAAAGTGTTTCGAGGGTTGGGCCTGGGTCTACGGCCCTTAACTTGGGTCACTTTCCTCTCCTCTCTCTCCCTCTTCACCACCGGCAGGATGGGTGGCCCTCTGGCTCTCAGAGTCCTGTGGGGTAACTCTTCTGCTTCAAATTTCTCTCCAACTTGTGACACAGAGCGTGTTAAGCAGATATCAACACTCTCCTCCTCTTTCTTCAGTCCGGACATGGGCCCCCCTGCTGGCCGGCAGAAGCTAAACAGAAAGCCAGAGTCCAGTAACTTGATGGGGGGCTTGCTCTGGCGTTTACCCAGGTCTGGTGAGGGAGGATCAGGGAAAGCTCCAACTGGCACAGGTTCTGCTGGTTCCTCTTTGATGACTTTATAAAGAGGGTGGTCGTAGATGGACGGTGGAGGTGCTTGCTCTGAAAACTGGAGCCCATCAGGTTTATTTTCCTTCACTTTTGGTCTAGTGTCCATGGTCCCTCTTAGCCCCTGGCTTCCCACCTTTCTTCCCTCTTCTCTGGCATTACACCTCACCTTCTTCGCCTCCTTCGTGGAGCCCCGTCTGAGTTTAGCCTTTGCTGCAGGACGGCTGCTGTTGTATCGCAGTGTTCTGACTGTCTCAACAGCGACCTTATTTCTAGCCTGTATCTTCTGTGAAGGTAAAGATTTGTGGGGTGAGTGGCCGCAGTAATTGTTTGATGAAAATCGGAGACCTGAGAGAGCGTATTCAGCTGGTTCTGATTTGATCCTGACTTTGTTTCTGACTAGCTTTTTATTCGAGCCACGTCGCAGAGGCTGCTGAGAATGAAGGTGGGAACCGTCACCCTTCCTTACGGATTGTCTCAGTTGCCTCCCCCCAAAGGCAACCCTGGATATAGGCTGGAACATGTCAGGTAACACCCCTTTACTTCGCATGCTCCTGTCACTGGGAGGAACACGCTTCCGAGTGGTTTTTGGCCTCTTAGCTGTAATCTTCTCTGTGCTAGCTGCTGCAGCAGGTTTGGTCTTCGCAGGCTTATGGAGGAGGTGAGTGTTAACAGGGTTGCAGAGGGGAAACGCCAGAGTCACATCCCCATATGATAGTCCTGGGGACGGTGAACGGGGTTTCCGGCGCTTGGTGAGTGAATAGTTGTTGGCCTTCAGCTTTCTTAGTCGCTTCTTTTGTCTCCAGCCAATAAGATCTTCTGGTCTGGGGAGGAGAGAAGTCCTTTGTAACCCCAGAACATTCATCAACTTGTACTTTTCCTGTGCTCTGGCATAATCCTCTTCATCCTCGCCAACCTCCTCAACTTCCTGCTTAACCCTCACAGGGCTGCACACCATGCCAGGTCTCAATCTAGAAGAGCAGGAAAGCTGAGAGATGGGATGAGATTTTTTGTTTTTTTGAGAGCTCTCCGACATTGGCAGCAATCTCTGAACCTGCTTGGCAGCTCCAGGAGTGGAGCGGAGCAGACGGGTGTTCGATGGGGATACGGGTGAGTAACTCTGTGACTGTGGGGTAGATGTGGCATTTCGAGGTGTGGAGGCCTTTTTTGAAGAGGGCGATTTAAAGTCCATGAGCTTCATCCTGTGTGAGGGACTTAGAGGGTGGCCGTTTTGGGACTTTGGCATTCTGCGTAAATTGCGGCTGGGACTTCCTTCAAAAGACTCGTCTGATGCATCCAGTGTTAGACTGAAGGCGGCGTTCACATTGTTCTCTAATCCCAAAACCCTTTTCCTTTTGCTTTCCCTCTGGTGGTGATGACGCTCACGGCACGAACCAGCATAGGCTGAGTTTGGATGAAGTTGCTGTTCCTGCTCTTTAATGAGGGCAGAGCAGGCTTCCACTGCAAGCCACATGCCCAGGTGGCGGGCCATGGCAATGACTTCAGGTAGATCCTCACGGCGAACACACAGAGTGGAGGAATAGGAGAAATCCAGCAGAGAGAGAAGGCTGTCCTCACTGAAACCTGGGGGTTAAAAGGAGCCTTTAATTAGATCACTGGTCAATCAGAGGGTGAGAAGAGGGAGATGAAAGCAATTTGGTGTAAACAGAAGATCAGAGGGAGAGCACTCCAAGAGGGAGCAAAGTGTAAACATGACAGTTGAAACAAGACGACAAATTAACAACTCCTTTAATCATGGACACTTCTGCTCTCATGTAAGAACACACATCAAAGATAAGTAAACGATAACACAGACAACAGCCAAATCCCATTTTAAGGACCAGATTCTCTAAGGCTACGTCCACACGTACACGGTATTTTTGAAAACGGAGATTTTCCGTTTTCGTTTTAAAAAATAATCC